ATTTTCAACCATGCCTATCCTTGAATGTTAATACATCATGGATTTAAAACCTGCACCCTAGTATAAACCACTTTCACGCTTATCTTTTTGACTAAGTTTTGCTATTTGCTGTAAATTCTAAAGAGACCAGGCTAAGGCATATACAATGTTCTGTGTCACATGTTCTCAAGAAGGTGACTAGCAGTAGATCAAAATAAGTCTATTCAGGCAGACAGTAAACTCCATGAGTAACACAATGGGAAGAGAGCCTGAATTCAGGCTGGAAATGTTTGCAAAGAAAAATGTTCAGAGAAAGCATTTCTTACTCCAGTTTTTCATCCTGCTCACACATTAGCATCACATGCATCACAGCCGTGCGCCTGTGGCAACAGACTGATGCCTCCCCAAGTCAAACAATCAAAGTCACTGAGCACAATTGCAGGGTAGATACTGGCTGTACCTGCTGCTCCAGGTCCCTTCACTTCCCTCCCTCTGCATTTCAAAGCAAGGCTGACCATCTTCTCTCTCTCACAGTCTTTCCCTGATACTGTGCTTTCTGCTCTCTATTTTCTGCTCCCAACACTTGTGCCATCTCTTTACCTTCAAAGGAGCACTAGGTAGGAGTTTAAATGTGGCCCCGAGAACAATAACTGAAATTGTTGGAATTCATGGAGTTGTGAAGATCTCAGCCTCAACATTTCAGCAAAACCAGAGTCTAAGCAGGACTAAACAGAAATGCTGGACTCCATAGCATCATTAATAACACAAGAGATATCCATGAGGCACACTGACCTCTCTCCCTAAGCCAAACTGAAAATTTCTGCCGTTTCACTTGGCTCTTCTCAATGTCGTCCCAACAAGAACTCTTTTAAGTATTATCAGCGTGATTAGTTTTCAAAAGCAAAATACTAGAATCACATATGCAGGTTGCTTATCAGTTTTGCAGACAGTATAAAAAGCAAGAAATTAACATTATGATTCCAAACAAATGGAAGTGATAAGACTACACACAGGATTTTTAAGCTGATTGCTTAGAGTCATTCTGCCCACCAAGCTGCACAGTCCTTTACAGCATATTTCTGAGCCTCAAGTATTAACTATATTGCTAGAGGATAAAAGAAATGAAATGTAAAAAACATAATAGAAATCGTAGTAAATACACAGAAAAGTGAAGAATGCTGAAAAGTACACTAGGGAACACCACAAGAAAACATGAAAGGGAAGATAGGTAATATTGGTGACTTAATAGGAAAATTTTGAGCGGTTGCTCCAAGTGGTGTCCACAGAGAGCTGCTATTCACTTCATGCTGGCTCTTTTTGTTTCCAGCAGCTAAGTTCACATTGAAAGAAGCTAAAAATACATTAAATACTTTCTAAATATTATTTTCCCATATAAGCAATTGGTATAAGTCGACACAGAGATGGTGTCTTCTTGCCAGTGAAAAGGGAAATAGTATACAATAAGTTGTATTCTATGAAATCTTTTGTCTTATGCACAATGCAGCCAAAAATAAGTGGAAGTTTGAAAAGGCATTATTTTAGCTACAAGTATTTCCAACTGTTCCCCTCTTTCAGTAAGGCAATATAAGAAAATGACACTTAAATATGAGGATCTTATCACCTGTGAGAAAAGCTATATTCTGCACTACTCAGGAGCATAATATGTTTGCCATTTCTAGCAATCAAGCTTTGATATTTCAATGAGAGGAAAAGCAAGACAAGAGTGGCAAATGTCTACAATTTTGGTATACCATTTCCTGATAAACCAGAATTTCACAATGCTGCAGATTTAAAACATAAATGTACCTGCTTTGCATTCAGGACCCTCCTTGAGAGTAAATTCAGCTCAATACAAAAGTAAAATGGGGGGAGGGATGGGACAACACATACTGAAAAACATCCAGTTCTTTCTGTTAAATGTGAAGTATAACAGGCTTTTTTATGACATGCCTTCCTCCAAAAATAGCAATGATTACACTGCTCAACTCCCACAGCCCCCCTCCTCAGCTTGGTTTTTTTACACGTAGAACATTATACATTCTCAGTCCTGAGGAAGGAGCTGAAGTTTGTGGAGCCAAGAGGACTCTCTCTATTGCCCAGTACACAAACTACAGAAAAGGAAGACAGGCAACTCTAATTTCTTATAGTATTAAATCTTCTTTTAAAGCCGAAGTGACAGATTTTTTAGGAACTCTGAAACCCACAGCTTTCCACAGTTTTGGAAAGAAGCTGCGAGTCCCAGCAGTGATAATCTGCCAAGTCCAAGGCACATTTGTGAGCAAGACATTTTTTGCCTTCCCAACAAACATGGAGATTGTACAGTCTACTCTCTTCACAGGGATGAGGCAGGGGAAATGTTAAGATCACAGCTGCTGCAGCAGTGGAAGCTGCAGCTGCCTTGGAGCCTGTAGCGACTGTGTAGCCTACCATGCAATTGAGGCTGTGCTACAGGTACTGCTCTGTTTGGGGCTTTCTTCATGAATGGCAGAAATCTGAAGCTTTGGCCTGCTGTAGTTAATGAAAAGTCTTGCAAATCATCTTGTAATACTCCACCTAAGTTCCAATTCAGCTCAACAGCCTTCCTATCAGAACTTCCTAAGTAGCTACTTAAGACAGCTGTATTCTTGAATAATACTTTCTTCACACTTTCTATTACATTTAGTTTTCTATTACATTCCTATTGCCCAGTCATGATTTATTTTACACATGAAAGGGTACACACAGCAGGGCAAGATGGAATCACAACCATTTCAAGTAACCTACATCTGGAATGAACTTATCTTTTTGAAATATGGTTGGGATTTTTAATAGAAAAAGCTAACATGTCTTTTAACAATGACTTAAATTTCACTAAAACCAAGAAAGGATTTATCAGTACTTTAGGGTAAGATACACTGTACGATAACTCAGCTTTCCTCATTATTTTCAAGAATCATGCCTGGCTGATGTATTTATTTTGTAATGTTTAACTATAATAGAAAATAGATGAAGTTCAAATGAAAACACTGTTTAGACTATGTCAACAAAACATAAAACTAAATGAAGTGATTCTATATTGACTATAAAAACATATTTGCTAATAGTGAAGTTATGGTTATCTATCAAGATCACAACATGAAGTAATTCTGCATCTTAAGAACTGTGTTAAAGCAGCAGACACATGAAATTGTAATTCTGTGATTTTGCAAAACAGCATCATGGAGTGCACTTTATTGCTATTTTATCATTAGTGTAAATAATTCAACAAACCCAGGAAACCTCCAGCTCACTTGTCTTTTGTAAATTGCAAGTCACCAAAGGTCTTTCCACTAAGAAAGCCAATGCTTACTTTACACTTGCTAGCAAAAAAAAAAAAAAAAATCAAAAAAAAAAGTATTTTGTATACTGAAACAACT